GGGGGTGGGTGGGCACTTATATGTCATTAATAAGTTTTCATCATTTGACATAAATCTCACGATGATTTTTAAGCAATAAATTTTCAAACTCAAATTAAAACATCTAGAACTCAAATTTTAGCAAACTTATAGTCAAACTAACCGACTCTACAAGACAAGCACAATTATATCAAAATTTGTCCAATCCAAGTCAAATCAAGGCAATTTCAAGCCATTGAACTACTTCTTAAAGCTATAAGTGGCTAATTTGAATGTCATATGGATTTCAAATCTGATGATCTTATAGTTAAATCAAACATTGTGGCTAATTTGAATGTCATATGGATTTCAAATCTGCTGATCTTATAGTTAAATCAAACATTTGAACATCTAACGAATTCAATATTAGTCAATGTTGATATTGTTAAGACACTTAAATGCCTATAAAATGTCATCCGATCGTTAGAATCTCTTTAGGTCATCTGAAGGAGTGTTCCAAAATCCTTCCTTATTTGCAGGGAGGCCACTCCCAGACTCTACAAATATAACCCTACCTCATTTGTGAGAGGGGGGCCGAGAAAACCTGGAGTTAAAGCTGGACCGGGAGGAGTCAAATTTCAGTGTTTTATAGACTGAAAACGAGACAAACATTTTCTACTTCCACAACAGCTAACCATCATCAATCAGTGTTTACGATCGCCATCAATAACCATCGACCACCTCCTACTCGTTGACAACAATGAATTTTATAGTGTAACAATGCACCCTAAGGATGATGTAATAATGCACCATAATGATGGTGTAATAATGCGACTGAAAGATGGTGTAACGACGCACTTTGAATATGATGCAACTTTCTATAAAAACTTTTTATAACCGCTATACTTAGGATATGGTGAACTTCTCTGAACTTCTAAAGTTTTCTCCTCATAGCTCCCCACTAAGACATACATGGTCCACATCTCATACAACTTTCAACTCTAGTCTCTATGACGAACATACATCATTACAGCTCACCACTATGCCCTTCGTGACCAACTACAACCTACATGGCTTAGAGATCATGCAACTCCCAACTCCAACCTTTTTAGCCTTTGAACATTATTGTGACTCACCACAACAGCGTATGTGACCAAATATAGCCTAAGTGGCTCACAAATCATGTAGCTCTCAACTACAGCCTCTGTGGCTTACGAACATTGTTGCAACTCACCATTATGACCTACACGATCAACTACGACTTTGTGACTCACAACTCATGCAGCTCCCAAATTTAACTTTTGTGGCATACAAACATCAACGTCACCAACAATGACATGTGGTTGTCGGCTCACGCAATTCCCGACTTCAATCTCAGTTATCTACGAATAGTATTGTGACTCACCACTACAACTTATGTGACTTGGTTCACATGTCATGTAGCTCCCAACTCAGCCTCTGTGGACTACAGACGTTACTGCAGCTCACCATTATGACCTACTTGACCAACTACAACTTTTTCTAGGTTTTCCAAGTAAAAATAAAGACATCTCCTCCCGCTGCTTTTTTTTTTATCTGTGTACATGCTGGCAGCTCACCATTATGACCTACTTGACCAACTACAACCTTCGTGGCTTATAGTTCATGCAGTTTCCAACTCCGGTCTATGTGACCTATAAACATTATTGATGCTCACTACTACAACTTGTGTGGCTTAAGCTTATGCAACACCTAACTCTAGCCTCTGCGGCCTTTAAATGTGATTATAGCTCACCACACACATGACAAACTACAATTACACAACTCATAACTCATAACTCACAACTCATGTAGCTCCCAACTCCAACCTCTCCGACATACATACATCAACATGACCAACTACAACCTGCATGACTCACAACTTGTGTAGCTCCTAACTCCAGTCTCTATGACTTTAAATACATTATTATAACTCACTACTACAGCCTACGGACAAACTATGGTTTACGTGGCTTATAACTCATGCAGTTCGGACATTTGTGACTTATGGAAATTATTACAACTCTCTGTTATGACTTATGTGACTCACAACTCATGCAACTCCCAACTTTGTTCTTTGCGGAATACGAAAGCTATTATAGTTATAGCTCACTGCAACATACATGACTCACGACTCTTGCAGCTCCTAACTTCGATCTCTGCAACTTACAAAAATTATTACAACTCCAGGTTAATGCATATGTGGCTCATAGCTCATGTAGCTTTCAGCTCCAGCCTCTACGACCTACAAATGATATCATAGTTTGCTATTAAGGCCACTATAGCCAACCGATGCTCTTGAAGCTATCACATACATTCTACATAACCAACTACTACTACCACAACTTTGAGCTACGACATTTACAGCAAGTTGACGCTACGACCACCATCTACAATATTCATGACAGACTATTGTCTCCATAGCAATCGCCAACGACCTTCGTGGCCTATGACTGCTATTATTATTGAACTATTATTATACACCAACATTGTAATTTTATCTCCTTTAATTCAAGTGAAGAGCCTTCGTACTTACAATTCCTTAGTTGATTACTTCATTTGGGCCACACTCAGTGGTTTTTTTCCCTTTTCTGGGTTTTCCAAGTAAAAATAAAGGCGTCTCCTCCCGCTGCTTTTTTTTTTTATCTGTGTACATGCTGAAACTTATTATACTATACTAAGACGCTAATTTATTAGTCTACTGCTGTGAATTATCTTACATGTATTAGTTGTACATCCTACTTTAAACTAAAAAAAAAATCAAAGGTAGTATTATTTTTCTTGTAGGTATAAGTGTAGATAATCAATATATATATATAATAAAAAAATAATAATAAGCTAACAGAAACGTGCTCATAAATGTGTGGGGGCCAAAGCATTTATGCAATTGACACGCATATCCGGCTGGCATTTTTTAACAACGATATAACCATATCATTAAATAAATTCTCACCTAATCTTTATTCTCATAACTACATAACTATATTTAAGAGAGAAATAAATTTATTACTTATTATTTTAACATTATTTAAAATAAGAAAAAAGTAAGAAAAAAAGAACGATTCAGAAAAACAATGGTCGGTTCACCATTTCGTGAAGGTGAAAAAGGTTTGTTTTGTCGCCTTCTGCTTTTTCTTCAATGGGAAAAATAAAAGTTGGAGCCACACATAAATAATTGAAATTTTCTTTATTTATCAAAATTCAACCACAGCAAATTACAATAGTTTAATTAATATTCATATTTTAATATTCAGCCTTCCAATAAAATAAAATTTCCATCTTATTATTTATAAAATTAGCACACTTTTGTGCCCATTTTCTCAAGTTCTCTATCAAATATGAAAATTCACTATGAAAGTCCAACTCATATTATTATTATTATCATTAAATTAACTCAAAATACATGAGTTCAATAGATAAAAATAATAATATGGGGGTTAATTTTGTAAATAATAATATTTTGAATGTTATTGATGTAATTATCCTAGCATTTTTTTTTATCAAATAAATATTATAATAATCAAAGTGCTTATAAATTATAATTATATAAAGTTATGGGAATGAGAGAAGGAGTATGAATGATCTTATCCATGCCATGTGATCCTACATTACTCCAAATAACTAGGCCCATGCCCCGGGATCTTGTTTTCTTCTATAGAGTTCCTTTTTTTATTATATATATATATATATTGTATATAAGGAAAAAGTCATCAACTTCTATAATATATATCTACATTTTAAAAGATTATAAATTTAAGAAAAAATTAGTCAATTAAAATCAGAACATTCTTCCGAAGCCCAGATATTCCACATTTAATTATAAAAAATAAAAAATAGACATGTGGTTCTCATGTAACTTCTAAATTATCTCCGGGATTTATTGCCATAAATGCACGTATTTTAATAATATATAATAGTTGTATAACTGTTGACATTTTATTGGAATTATCTCTAATTAATTCGGCTATTTTTATGAAATAAACCTAAATACTAATTTTTTCATAATTTACGTTAAATTAAAGGTATGTTTGAGACAGCTTGTGTGTTTCAGAATAAGCAGTTTATCCTGCCGCGGTCGACCAGCAGACTGAACACGACAGACAGCGGTGTTTTAAAAAATGGGCAAACCAAATGGTTAAGCGACATTTTTAAAAATGCCGCCGCACTTATAAGCTGCCCCAAACGGGCCCTAAATCTTCTTCGAATAGCAATGAATTTTTTGGCATGAATATTAGGGTGTTGTCTGCAAAAATGAAAAATCTGTTTCTAAATCTGCAATATTACTTTTAATTGAATTAATGCAGTGTATGTACATAGATTAATACAGCCGAAGTTACATTTACATATCTAACATCTAAAATTTGATATTTATACCTATAACCCTCTATTCTTAAAAATCTAATATCTGAGTAACAAGTATATATGGATATGTAAATATATAAGAATAATGTGGTATCTATGTAAATTCCCTTAGAAAAAAAAAAAAACCATTTTGTCAAAATAGGGTGCCATGACTCATGCCGTTGAATAGTACCATTTCTCCGTTCCACCTGGCGCTTTGATTTTTCTATGCGGCAACCTTAAAGGTAAGGCTTGTCCTTTTCTTACCTTTAGAAAAAAATAAATTAAATAATATATAATATGCGGGTGCAATGCATGCAATAATGTAAACAGGCCCATAATCAAATGTAACTATTTTGTCTATGAAAATTTGATTGCCAGAAAAGCAAATAAATATTATTCATTATTCAAAGCTTTATTTGGTGTGGTTAATGACGGACAAATAAGGATTAGACTATTAATTAACACGTAATTAGTTAGTCAAAACATGAAAGGCATGTGCTACATTTTAACTAGTTAGGTCAAATAATGTGCTTACTGTTGGAGGTGGGGTTAGTAGCTATGTACGGCTATTATTTTAAGTCAAATCGAAACTCTGGATAGGCCCCATGATTTCCTATATGATGTTTGATATTTGCATTTTCACCCCTAAAACTTTGAATTTACACACATGACACTCAAATCTGAAAAATAATACTATTGCCTCATGTATATATTTAAAATAATAAAGTACTGTTTATATGTAAATATGAAGCATTAGGTATGAGATATATAAATATATAAGAATTGTGTGCTGCTTATGTAAATTTTATGAAAGAAAATATGTATTTTATTGGAAAGAGTTGATAAATAGTGATGTTATTGACGTAATATTAAATATTTGAGTATAATACGTATAGAAATGAATGATTAGGTGTTTAGATATGAAAATAAACATGGATTACGTGTTATATATGTAAATACACCATATTTTTTTTGTAGGAGGATGTACATACATAGCACTCCAAACATGAGTATTAATATATCTCACATCTAGAAGTTTATATTTATTAATATAATGTCTTAATTTTTATTAGTTCTTAAGAAAATAACAATGATAAAGATTCATTAAGATACAAATTAAACAAATTATATATATATATATATATATATAATGAATCCAGGGGCTGAACGGACCTCTTTTTAAAGGGTATAAATTATCTCCCTAGGTCGAACATGAGAATAGCTAAGGCAACGAAAAATAAAATGATATTTTATAAGGGTTATATATATATATTAAAAGGATTGACCAGAGGCTAATATACAAGCTTCAATCATCAATCATGAGTCTAAGAATTCGAGTATCACATCTTACATTCAGAGGAAATTGAACCCCATACTAGGGGGATTTACAACTGACAAACAGATGTCCAACCAACTAATCCAAATAAGCTGTTCATATATATATATATATTATACATTTTTTTTTAAATAATGCTATTTTTTATGTGATGTACAAGAATTGAATGCTATTTATATAAATCTGAAAGCTTATGTGTAAGATGTGCTAAAATCAAATTGCTGCTTATTTCAGTAGTTCATAAATGAATATTAAGACAAGCTTTATTGCAATAGAATAAAATATTCTCAAATACATTGCATATTGTTTTATTGAAAATAAAATAAAATATTTTAAAACGCCTAATCCAAGTTCTTAAATTAAAAAGGCGTAAAATGAATTTTAAAGGCCCTTGAAGCCCATCTCTAGTTAGCCCACTACCAAAAACGGGATTTTTTTGGGCCCGATCCGGGAGTCGGTTCACTGAAATTTCTGTACATACTTTCCCAGAATTCCCGTACCCTGACTCGCTCCTAACTCCGACCACTGGTATAGTGGTATACTGGTTGACGGCTGCCGGTGATTTTAGGGAGCGCTTACAGATGGATGCTATCAGGAAGAAGGCAACTCGGTTTAGGGAGCTGGTTGCCAAGCAGCAGCAGGTTCCTCTCCCTCGCTTGCTTGCTTTTTGTTGAACTTCTTGTTAGTGCTTGTTACAGATCATTAGGTGTGCATTTGCTTTGATTTCAATCTCATATTTCCGAGTGAGAATAGTTATCCTCGATGGATTTGATGAAGCAAGGTTAGGAAGAATGAATGAGGCTAGGAACTGCTTCTATCTGGTATATACATGGCATGATTGAGGGAAAAAAGTTTTTTTAAGTCATTCGGGGTTTTGTTCGGGCTTAAGTTTTGTCTGGTCATAATGTTTCTTGCTGTTGGATTGCTTTTAGTGGCGCTCTTTCTGGAGATTTTTTATTTTGTTGATTCTTGCAATTTGTGTACTGGACTAGAGTAATCGGAGCTTGGAAGCCGTGAATTGAGCTTGTTTTGCGGTTCATGTGCTGGATGGTGATGGAATATTTACATTCATTGAATTTGTTTATTTAGTAGCAAGCACTAGTGATGTTTTGTTTGATTCACATGAAGAAGAGTCCAAGGAATGTTGGAAGCATCATATTCCGGGTATTTGTTACAAAACTGGATTCAAGTTGGAGTTATTGAATCAGCTTCTGTATTATAGGGGAGCCCGTAAAAGGAATCATTGATAAGAATATTTGCACTTGTGATGGAATTTCATGTTCATGCTCCTGTTCTAGCTATTTTTCTTAAGCAAACCATTAATTTGAACAGATACTTAGCAAAAGTTTTTGTTTATGACAAAATAGTTTCTTAGCTTAAAAAATGTTATTTTTTAACCCAAAAAGAAAAGGAAAACATAGCTTATATAGGTTTCTATAACTCAGCTGTAGGAACTCCTGAATAGAGAGTAAGTAATCATCCTTTTCCACTGAAATGATGCAAAACAATAGACAATATCAGGAACAAGTCCACTTTAGAAAACAAAAATCTACTCTACTGACAACGATAATTTCTGAGTAAAAAAATGCTTCTCTAACTTGCACTAAAATCACGCCAAATTATGGGCATACCAAAAAAAACAAACTTTCATGTTGAGGCTGAAATGAAAATTATGATCGATGTGAAAAGCCGATTAATTGGTTGTGGGATGATTTGAGTCGGTGTTAGTCCCATCAATTGAATGTAAATATATAGAAAATGAACTTTGATGTTTGGGCATTTAAGGAGCAAAAGTTGCAATACAATGCAAATAAGCCAAAGGGTAAATAGAAAAAAGGTTAGACTATCCAACATGATTATAAGTTGTGCCTAAACCCTTGTATAAGCTTTGTAAACACGGGTGTAAACGAGCTGAGCATGAGTGAACCCAGTGTTTGTTCGATTTTTTTATCTTGCTTGTAAATAACATATTCGTTTTTGGCTCGTTCAAAAAAAATTTTGGCTCAAAATAAGCTCATGTTCGGCTCGAAAGCAAGCAAAAATAACCAATATATCCTATTTTCATAGTCACTTGTAGCTCAAATTCTTATACATGCAAGCTTCATTTTTACTTTAAACAACAATGATAAAGCTTATCTTCAGAAGTGAGACTAAATGCTGTTGAAATTCAAAATTATGCGATTTTATTTTATGTGAAAAAGGGTATAAATAATTCTTACATGAATCCTGTAATAGGAAAGATAATAAAAAGAAATAAGAATAAAGGAAATATATAACTCATAATATCTCAAATTAATCAATTCATGTTAAATATTTTCGAGATAAATGAAACAACATAAAATAGGAAAACTTTAAATGAGAAAGAAAATAAATCCAATCTAAGGAAATAAATCTAAAATAAGAATGGAAATAAAATTATGTTAGAAAATAAATCTAATCCTCATAAGTTCTAATAAGAATAAATTACTTCATAATACAACTTTAACACTTTCCTCAAGTTCAAATGTGGTTGAAAATCATGTTCAACTTGGATTTGAAAACATCAAATAATTGATGAGAAAGATCTTGTGAAGTAGAACTTGAAGTTTTCATCCTGTATCATAGTTGTCTTTGACTGTAGTTACTACAGTGTGTGTAGATAGACAGAAGACTCATATAGGTAATGTTGTGGGGGAGTTTGCAGGGAAGTAGAT